CCAACCTTCCTTCCGAGGAGTGGCTGGTGGGTTTGAACCGCCAGCCTTCTGGTTAGCAGTCAAGTGCCTTAGGCACTATGCTACCAGAGCTTCTAGTAGGCACTAATAAACATCTTTTAAAAAAGAAAATTTACTCTTCATACTAAAATGACATGTAATTTCATTCCTCTTACTTGGAAATCTCATGTGTAATTATGAGTCAACTAGACTTGAAATAAAAAATGATTCAAATTCATTTTCATCATACATACTAAAAACAAGATTAAGAGCAATGTCTACCTGTGCTTTAATGATATGCATGAATCTCGACATCAACTCAGGACATTCAAGGAGAAAGTGAAAGTGGTCAAATATAATTTTGGGATTTCTGAAAGAAAAAATATTTTGTTTATAAAGACAGGAAAGATGAATAGCATTAAATAACCTGAAAATTCAGAGATACAAACACTGAAGCAGAAGAAAGACAGTTATTAATCTATACTTACTACACTTCCATTTGTTATTGAAATAATAAGATTTGTATAGCAACAGAAGTAAAAATTTTTATGTTGAGATGAAACTGTATATAGAGAAAAGGAAGGCTACAAGGCCAGTCCAAGAATCCCAGAAAACTTTACCTGTTAACAAAGCATTTTAGAACTTCATCATGTTTGCAGACAAATTCAATGAAACGGGGTGAAGTCATTCTGTGGAGGATGAAAAGTTTAATCAGACTACAGAGATATAATCTGGTGATATAATATAGGAAATCTGACTGGCTTCTAGATCAAAAAAATGGGGTTTGGATCTTCTTTCTAAATTTATTAAACAAAAGCATATCTACTCAATATGTAAAATAAAATAATACAAATAACTTCGTAACAGATGATATAAACAAGTGACTTTTTAAAAAAATCTTCAAATTTTAAGCATCCTACTCTATATGCTTCAAAGCACATGATTAAGATATCCTCTACAAGACGACATTTACCATTGTACTCAGTAATAACTTATATATCACTTGCTGATAATTCAAGTATTTTTAGGGAGGCTTCTATATTAATACAATTAGCACCCTAAAACATGATCAAAATAAAACCTAAATTCAGTAAATTTTATTATTTGTTGTTACTAAAATTACAAAAATATCGTATCTTTTCTTCATGTATCAGAGAAAAAAATAATAAGCAGAAACCTTCTTACCCCGGAGGCATCTGACAAGAACAGCACATGTAAAAAGCTTGAATGACAGCACTTAGCCGGTTAGCTGTCATAGAAATAACATCCTGACAATCTGCATTGGCTTCCTGTTTCCCCACAAGAGCATCTGGTTTAGATTCCCTTGTGCCAGTGGATAGATTTTCATAGCTCTCAGGTCCTGGAGGTTCACATGGAGGAATGGAAGTACCATCTTGATGATCTTGGCCTTTTTGTTTCAGTAAAATAGAAGTGATATCCGTTGAGTCCTTCTTGTTTTTCATTAATTCTGTGGCTATTAAAACTAACCATTCATCTAACGAGTGCCAAAGCAATTCCAGAGGCTAAGAGAAAAAGAAAGGTTTTTTGTTTTTTTCTAACATCATTACCTTAACTCCAGGATAAATAAACAACACAGTCAAACAAATACTGTAAAAGAGCAAATTTACTCAAGATACCTGTACTTTCTCAAGTTAAAGTGAGAGTAGTGCCAAATGCTAAGTAACATATAGATGTTATAAAAACAACATTTTCTTAAGTTATAGCAAAAATGTCATTTGTATTTGTTTATTCCTTGGAATAAAAGGGGAAAAACTAAACTCTAAGAAAAATGGAAGATTTATAAACAATCTTACTTAATTTTCTAATATTTCATTTTAAAAGCATGTATTTCTTTTATCCATACACTCTCTAGCTTTCACTGTATTAATACAGTATCAGAAATTTTCAATTAAATGTTTTTCAATTAAAAAATACAAGAATTCCCAAAGAACCTAAAACAGCTCAGTTTACTGTATTCTTTTCCTTACATATAATTCCTAGAATTTTGACAATTTATAACAAGTAATTTGAAAGTGTGAAATTTAAAGTGTGGACATATATATATATATATATATATATATATCCACATACATGTATATGCTTACACATACATATTCATGTATAATGTACTTCTAATAATTAACAAACTCACTGCCGTCAAGTCAGATCCAACTCATAGCGACCCCTCCTTGGGTTTCCGAGGCGGTATCACTACAGAAGTAGATTGCCCAACCTTCCTAATAACTATTCATTTTTAAAACAAGAACAACAATTATGAAATCTTTAGCAAAAACTAACCAGAAAATTCTTAATTCCAACTTAAATGGTTTACAAAAAAACAGGTGGGGGAGGGAAAGTAAACTTTTTCTGACTCCTGTTGTTGGTATGTGCCATCAAGTCAGACCCAACTCATAGTGACCCCTCCTTGGGTTTCCGAGGCAGTATCACTACAGAAGTAGATTACCCAACCTTCCTTTCGAGGAGTGGCTGGTGGGTTTGAACCACCAGCCTTCTGGTTACCAGTCAAGTGCCTTAGGCACTACGCTACCAGAGCTCCTTTTTTCTTATTCCTACACTACCTAAAATATTTGTTTTTGGGATAATGAGATAAATGCCTTTGAAAATTAATGTTATCATTGTTATTATAGCAACTGAAATTTCATTTTTAAAATATTGTGTGATTACACAATGAAGACCAGAATTACTGGTCGGATGGAGTTTGGTGGGACCCCCAAGACAATGGCCCTAGGATACCCTTTGGGCCTGGGATAGGACTCAGTCCCAAGGATTGGCTCTCAGCCCAACAGCACAAAGACTTACATGCAGAACACTCAACACAGGGCAATGCACCCACCTACTCTACAGAGATACACCCCTTAGAGTAATCAGCCATGGGGTACCAGAGGGGCAGCATTCACATGGAGGGTAAGCTGGACAGACAGGAGTGCATAGTTAAGAAGGGCACAGGGAGTAGGGGTCACAGGGAAGGGAGGGGAGGAAAGTGGGTTAGGGTTGGGGATGGAAATTGGGGCATGAAATCAAAGGTACAGAAACTATTGAATGTACAACAAATTCTGCTTTAATCTGCACCCAATGCAAAATAAAATAAATAAATAAATAAATAATTTATGTGATTACAATGCTACAAGGCCAAGTGCTACAGAAGATAAAATATATACATCATCTTTAGTAATTAGTTTTAAAAACAAGAAGAAACGTGAAGCAGCTATTAAAAGGCCTGCTAGAACATTTTAAATTCCAAGATCAACACTTAAAAAAGTAGAAGAGAGTAAAGAATCTTTCATTCAAATCTACACTATTTAGATGTTCCTACTAATAAACTCTCTCCACAAAGGAATAAGAAAGGAAATTGTGCTTTTTAAATTTTATATGACCACTGAATGCTAAAAAACAGGCCATATGCTACAGTAAGACCTATTCTTATGATATTCCAACTTAATGAAATAATCTTACTTCTAAGACCACGATGAAAAGAGATTGCACAATCATACTTGGAACCTTAGAAAATGTTTAGATAACCTGTTCTGCCAGGAAATCTTTACTATCTAACAAATCCCACAATATTTTCACCCTGCTTACCTTTCTTCAAGTGTCTAGAATATTCTCTTTGGGGATCTTTTATGTATAGAATTTGCAAAAATTTAATCACTCCTAGATCTTTTTTTTTTTTTTTTTGAGATACCTCATTCTTTTTTTTTTTTTTTTTTTAACTGTGATTTGGGTGAAAGTTTACAGAGCAAATTTACTTTCCATACAGCAGCTCACATACACTTTGTCTCATGACGAGATTGACTACAATGTACCACAATGCAACAGCTCCCCTCCCACTTCCTCCTCATAGTTCTCTCTTCCCTGTGTCCTTCCCTCCCATGCACTCCTGCCCTCCAAGCTGCCTCCCTGTGTATACACAGCCCTTCTATTCTCCCATGATTATTCTCTCCAAGGAGTGTATTTACCTAATGTAAATGCTCAGCTCTTATGACAGTCTTTTGTTTGGCTGGAAGCCACAAGAGTGGGTTCTATTCCAGACCTGAAGGGCAGCTAGGGGCCATAGTCTCAGTGATTTCACCCGGCTCTATCAGACCAGAAAACCTGGTCATCCTTTTTTTTCCCCCCTCAAAAGATTTTGAGTTTTGTTCCACATTATTCTCCTCTATCCAGGATCTCCTACATAGAAACCCCTCTGAGAGATTGACACGGTAGCCGAGCACCATCTAGTTCTTCTGGTCTCATAGTTGTACAGGCTGAGGACTGCACAGTGTACCAGTCGCCTGGACTAATTGTTTCCAAGTGTCTCTGGTTTTCTTCATTATTCTTTGCTCTGGATAAGGAGAGACCAATCATTGCATCTAGATGGCTGCTTGCAAGCTTTTAAGATCCCAGTCACTACTTGCCAAAGTAGGATGTAGAACAATGTTTTGGGTAGTATGTTATGCCAATTGAGCTTGATGTCCCCTGTGACTATGGTCCCAAGCCCACAGGTCCAACTACTTGCTCCCTCTGGGTAGCTGGCTGTGGCCAAGAAGTGACTACAACCTTGTCCCTTGTCAGTGCTACTATATACTTATCACCCCTAAATCTTCACTTAAACATTAAACCAAAAAGTGTCAATATATCCTATATATATATATATATCCAGCACCACCACTATCAACAGAAACTTAGTTTATTAAACAAGATTGACTCACTAAATAAACATTATCACCCTTCTTTTTAAAAACTCATCTGTAGAAGACCAAATGGTCAACATTTACCATAAAGCAAAAATTAGAAGGTAAAGGGGAAGAATCCAAATGGAACAACCAGAATGGAAAAATGAAAATGCTGACATACTGTGAAAAATGTAACCAACAGCACTGAACAATATGTATACAAATTGTTAAATGGGAACCTAATTTACTGTGTGAAATTTCATCAAAAACTCAGTAAAATATTAAAAAAAAAACTATAGTGCATCATTCAACAAATACCTAGTGAGTAGTACTAGGTACAGAGGTAAGCACAAGTGTTTCCCTTTTTAAACAAACAAAATATACTTTTCCTGAGGTTGAAATGAGTACCGCTTTGCCCATAAAGGGCACTTTTCCAGTCAAAACCAGCAGATCCTAAGCTGATGAGAAGAAAGGCAAGAAATACCAGCTGCCATAAACACTGACATAATACCTTCAACCAAAATGTCGTAAAATTCTAATCGTGATTCAAGTTTAGGCCTATAGTTTCTCTTCATTAGGAAAACATTAAATTTGATGTACAAATGCAAAAGAACTTTTTATGTCAGCAAAACAATTCAGCTTTACATCAGAAAATAAAATTCCAATATGGAAAGAGCAGGTGGTGATATAAAACTGCTTGAAACAAACGAAGAATGGAATAATTGGCCTCTAAATGAGAAGGGATAAAAAACCTAGAAAATCAACACACTAGATGGAGATGAAGCCTCAGGCAGGAAATAGTACATGCTCACCATGCAGATGAGCACATGAGCCTGAATGTGTAACAATCCTATTTTCAAATACTGATGATGTGCAAAAATTAAAGGCTGATTTTGAATAAATGGTATCAAAGGAAAAAAAAAAAACTGATCTCTGTAAAAAATGATGATAGCAATAAAGATATGGAAAAGTTAAACTGTTTTCTATAAAGGAGCACAGCAAAGAAACTAGAAGAGAAGAGAGAGGAAAAAAAGAAGTATTAAACCACCTTGGTCTTTATTTTTCTCTTTTTTCCTTTTGTCAATCATATATGCACTAAACTAAATCCCAACCTTGAACTGTTTTCCTTAATGGGTTGTCCCTATGAAGATCTACTCAGAAAATTCATTCCTCAATCATTTTATATATACGTGTGTGTGTGTGTGTGTGTGTGTGTGAAAAAAACTTTAATGTCTGTGGTAGCAACTACAGACAAAAAGAATTAAAATATATTTTAAAAATTTCAAATGAATTATTATATACTGTATCTATGATGCTTTCTATATTGTCAATTTATTTCTATCTCTACAAATAATAACATACATTAAATAAGGTGTGAAATTCCATACATATCAAATATTACCAATTACTATGGAAAAAAAATAGCAAATTTCTTGGTATTCTGAGAATATAGTGTTATTTCATATTATTGAGTGATCCTCACCATAAAACTATATTCTACATACAGTAATAATAATATGAAACTCATAATATGATTTATAAAACATTTTAAGTTACATTTCAAAACTTTAATATATAATCCCAAAGTTGGGCAATTAAAAAAAAAAATTAAAGACCTATATGCTGAAGTGTCGTAGAAATTTATCAGAAAAGTACTGGCAACTTAGGCTCATTAAACAGAATTTTGAAATCTTGTTAGTCTGATTATTTTCAACTTGATACTGTCAAATGCCACAGCCTAACAGATAACATCTTAAAGTTTCTCCATTTTTCTTGGCTTACAAATGTTCCAAATTACAATTCTATAAAACTGTTAACTGTTACACCGTACTATTTACAAAAAAGTACAT